TGTCCTAGCTGGGGAGCCACCTCAGGAAAGGCCTTGCTTCCCGAAGTGCCCCTCGCCCTCAGAAGAAAGGTCCTTTTTGCAATCATAATTCTTGGCCAGGTTGAGATAGGAGAAAATATCCTTATAGAGTTCCACAGGGCCTGCAAGACGGAGCTCTTCCGCCAGGCTTTTTGTTATGGCAATGGATGTTCCCCTCTCTACTGGGCTTCCCTTCAGTGGGTCAGATCTGCATGACCATCCAAGGACCAAAACTTGAAACAGATGGCATCTAGTGAGGCTTTAACTATGACTTGTACCAGAGGAATGTTGTTGTGTTTTATTGGCGCTTTAACTGTTTTAATTGTTGCGCGCTGTATGTTAAGAACATAAGAGACGCCAATGTTGGATCAGGCCAAAGGCCCATCCAGTCCAACACTCTGTATCACACAGTGGCCAGAAATACCAGGTGCCATCAGGCGGTCCACCAGTGGGGCCAGGACATTAGAAGCCCTCCCACTGTTGACCTCCCCCCCCCCAAGAACCAAGAAGACAGAGCATCACTTGTCCCAGAGCCCCTATCTATACCTTGTGGCTAATAGCCACTGATGGACCTCTGCTCCATATGCTTATCTAATTCCCTTTTGAAGCCGTCCATGCTTGTAGCCGCCACCACTTCCTGTGACAGTGAATTCCATGTGTTAATCACTCTTTGGGTGAAGAAGTACTTCCTTTTATCTGTTCTAACCCGACCCCTCAGCAATTTCATGGAGTGCCTACAAGGAGTTCTTGTATTGTGAGAAAGGGAGAAAAGTACTTCTTTCTCTACCTGCTCTTTCCCATGCATAATCTTATAAACCTCGATTATGTCACCCCTCAGTCGTCATTTCTCCAAGCTAAAGAGCCCTAAGCGCTTTAACCTTTTCTCATAGCGAAAGTGTTCCAACCCTTTTATCATTCGAGTTGCCCTTTTCTGCACTTTTTCCAAAGCTATAATATTCTTTTTAAGGTGTGGTGACCAGAACTGCACACAGTATTCCAAATGAATACAGTATTCCAAATGTTGTTATTGTGTCGGATGGAACCTGCCCTGATCCTGCTGTGCAGGGAGGGCGGGATATAAATCCGATAGATAGATAGACAGACAGACTGACTGACTGGGGCTAGACTACATGGTATTAATTTGATACCTTTTACCTCCTCAGTAGGTCGGAAATGCTAATAGAAGGTCAGGCCCATGGTTTCATGTCAATTAAATGGTTTATTGAGGCACTACAAAAGCATTACATGGCTAAGTGATAAATGGAAAAGATGATAAAAAGCAAAGAAACAGTTAAGAAACCAGGAAGAAGTATATGGCTACAGGAAACAGGGCAGAATGAATGAATAAAAATTACAGAGCTTTCCCTCCCTAGGATCTGTTACAGACTCCAGGAGACAGCTGGGAGGTCAACAAAGAGATGTACTTAGACCATTATGCATTCCAAAGACAGTCGTGGTAACTTGTAAAACAACTCAAGCCACTAAAAAATGAAGACCAAAACCATAACGTGTGAACGCAGAAACCATTCTGACTTCAGATAGCTTTTGCCTCCACCACTCCCTCTGGCCCTTCTTTAGTCAGAGTTCCATTGCCAGATTCTAATTGCTAATCAGTTGTCTATCCAAGAGGAGCTGCGGTGGCTCAGTGGTTAAGGCGCTGAACTGCAGGCTGGAAGGTCGGTAGTTCAGCAGTTCGAGACCCGAGTGCCGCATGGCGGAGTGAGCTCCCGCCTCTGGTCCCAGCTCCTGCCAACCTAGCAGTTCAAAAGCAAGAAGTTGCAAGTACATAGATAGGTACCGCTTTGGTGGGAAGGGAACAGCGTTCCGTGCGCCCTCGGCGTCTAGTCATGCCGGCCACATGACCATGGAAATGTATTCGGACAGTGGAAACGGAGATGAGCACTGCAACCCTGGAGTTGGATTCGGCTGGCTTTCGAGCAAGGGAAACCTTTACCTTTACCTATCTATTCAAGGCTGAAAGACCAGAACAGGTGTGGAGGAGTCCTCAAGGTAGGCAGACTCCCCAACAAGACAGCTTGCCTCCCTCAAGGAGCTTTTCTAACTTTCCCTCAGTCAGGGGTGGTGTTACTAGGGTGGGTGGTGGGTGGCACTCATAGATTTTGGAGGTGGAGAGTCGTGAGAGGCAACACTGATTTCTAGGCCCCAAAGGGGTTCCAGCCCTCCCCTGAAAAGAGAGAAGAGACTGGATTTATACCCTGCCCTTCACTACCCAAAGGAGACTCAGAGCGGCTTACAATCTCCTTTCCCTTCCCCTCCCCACAACAGACACCCTGTGAGGTAGGTGGGGCTGAGAGAGCTCTCTTGAGAACTGTCCTTGAGAGAACAGCGCTGAAAGAACTTGTGACTGACCCAAGGTCACACCAGCAGCTGCATGTGGAGGAGAGGGGAATCAAACCCGATCCTCCCATATTAGAGTCTGCACTCCTAAGCACTACACCAAACTGGTGAATTGGACAGGGTTTGACATAGTGGCCTGAACCTGAAAAGTGGGACTGTAAGAAGAATGGCTGCATTTAAAGGGAAAAGAAAAGTGCACACCTAACCTGACTGGTAAGACTCACATTGTGTGAATCATATGAGTCGATCCAATTATTCCAGTTAAAGCCGGATCTCTTAACCGGAAAAGACTCATGTGTATGAGGGACACATGGAACTCCTAGACATCTGCTTCCCCCCCATAGCAAGTACTTTAAGAATAATGGACAGTGGGTGACCTACCTGAAGGATGGCGAAGGGACTACAATGACCAGCATTTTCACTCAAAAAACATATGCCAGCATGGAAGCTGCGGGGCCAGGATAACGCTGGGCTCAAACTACAAGGGAAGAACCCTCCAATTTTCTTTTAAGCAGAGGCGACGAACTCATTTGCTATGAGGGCCGGATCGGACATAAATGTCACTTTGTTGGGCTGGGCCATGCATGCTATAAAATGTAACACGAGACACCGGAGATCTAAACTTTAGAAAGGTGATTTCAAATGTCAAATGGCAATAGCAGGTGAATGACAAAAAGCAGGCTAGATTGGACTAGGTGTGATATGCAGGAGGGTAGTAGGCAGTTGTAGTGGATAACTCACTGAAAATGTCGAGACAGTGTGTGACTGCAATAAAGAAGGCCAATGCTATGCTGGGGATTATTAGGAAGGGTATTGAAAACAGATCAGCCAATATAATAATGCCCCTATATAAATCAATGGTGAGACCTCATTTGGAATACTGTGTGCAGTTCTGGGCACCACACCTTAAAAAGGATATTATAGCTTTGGAAAAAGTGCAGAAAAGGGCAACTCGAATGATAAAAGGGTTGGAACACTTTCCCTATGAGGAAAGGTTAAAGCGCTTAGGGCTCTTTAGCTTGGAGAAAAGACGACTGAGGGGTGACATGATCGAGGTTTATAAGATTATGCATGGGAAAGAGCAGGTAAAGAAAGAGGTACTTTTCTCCCTTTCTCACAATACAAGAACTCGTGGGCACTCCATGAAACTGCAGAGCGTTCGGGTTAGAACGGATAAAAGGAAGTACTTCTTCACCCAAAGAGTGATTAACACATGGAATTCACTGCCACAGGAAGTGGTGGGTGCTACAAGCATGGACGGCTTCAAAAGGGAATTAGATAAGCATATGGAGCAGAGGTCCATCAGTGGATATTAGCCACAAGGTATAGATAGGAGCTCTGGGGCAAGGGATGCTCTGTGTTCTTGGTGCTTGGGGGGGTCAACAGTGGGAGGGCTTCTAATGTCCTGGCCCCACTGCTGGACCTCCTGATGGCACTGGTATTTCTGGCCACTGTGTGACACAGAGTGTTGGACTGGATGGGCCTTTGGCCTGATCCAACATTGGCGTCTCTTATGTTCTTATGTTCTTATGAGGGCATGCACATATGTTGGGGGAGGGGATATGCATATGTTGGGAAGAGGGTATGCATATGTTGGGAAGAGGGGGTATGCATAAGTTGGGGGGAGGGCATACACATATGTCGGGGGGAGGGGTATAGCCCCTGTCCCAATTGCCCTAGCTGTGCAGCTGACTTTTTGATGCCTGCGACTAAGTATGCCAGGCATTGTTTTCCTCAAGATGCTTGATTTCACTTTTCAATTTAGAGGCCGTCTGATGGAACCCTTCTTCCAGCAGTCGCCTTTGTTCCTGCAAAGGTGAGAAAGAGACAGTCTGTGTTCAGCTCATACATCAGGTGTGGCAGCAAATATAAGCACAGGTTTCATTCCACGGATCCATTCCACTAGTGGAGTTGCTGTCCTCCAGTGGAGGGACCCCGTCACCTGTTGCAACACGTGAAGAGGAAGAGGAGGAGGAGGAGGAAGAAGAAGACATCCTTTATCTTGATTTCAGTAAGGCTTTTGATAAGGTTCCACATAATATTCTTGTTGACAAATTGGTAACATGTGGTTTGGATCAGCGTTTCCTCTAAGCTGAGATACTGTGACCTACCTCGCAATTTTTTAGCCTCCGGCTCACACATTTTGTCTTGGCTCAGGAAGGACGGCTCCAGAGCAAACTAATTTATGCCGTCGCCAAATCGCTCACTCACAACTTTAATGCTGGTAGCTCAGAAAGTAGAATTTTTGCTCACAGGACTCCACAGCTTAGAGGGAGCATTGGTTTGGATCCTATTACTGTTAGGTGGATCTGTAACTGGTTGACTGATTGCACCCAAAGAGTGCTCGTTAATGGTTCCTCATCCTCTTGGAGAGGAGTGACAAGTGGAGTGCCTCAGGGATTAAACCTCTGCCAACAGCCACAGAAGGTGTGTGGAAACAGATTTGTCCTACCTAGTTGGAACCGCTGGCATATTTTTTGAGTGAATGAAATGTTGCCGAAGACGTGAGGGAACGCAGCCGTTATGAGCCTGTGGTATGAGCCAAGACGTTCATATTTTAGCTTAATCGTGACCTTGCTCTAGGTGGCTTCTGGGAAGTTAGCGTTGTTCCATCTCAGCACCCTCCTCTAGAATAAAGTCTGGATTGGCCTGCCTTGTGGGATTAGGAATACTGGCCCATTCTGCATCTAGCATTCGCGTTGTTGTTTTACCGAACCCACACTGGAAGAGAAAAAAGATGCGGCTCAAAACCACATTCAAATGCTCCAGGCCAACGCTATACTGACTGCAGAGTGACCCCTGAAGTGCCATAAAGCGGCCATAAATCTATGCAGAGAGTTCCATAAAACCGAGAGATCAGAGGAAGTTAACCTGACATGAAGTGTGGAGGCTACCATAAAATCCGACAATCACAGAAAGTGGAAGTGGCCTGCAATGTGGAGGGGGATTTCTGTCCCAGCGTGGGTTTGGTAAAACAGTGGAGCGAATGCAAATGCAGAATGGGCCACTGACCTATTGCATGGGAAGCGGTTGGTGCACTTAAAGCACCATGTAAACACCATGATCCAATATGGAATCTGACATCCATTAGGCAACCTGGTGAAATCTCGTGAGTCACAGCGAGTCAGCGTGGGCCTGGCGGAGCTCTCGTTACCATGAATTTTTGCTCCATCATCCATTCCGTCTCCTGTTGCCACGCCCTTTTCTCCCTCTCTCTCTTCTCCTGCAGCTGCCGGCGCTGTTCCTCGTAGCTCCGCTTCTGATCCTCCACCATTTGGGTCCACTTGGCCGTCTCTTGCTCTATGAGCAGCTGCTGGAGTTGGGCCTCTTGGACTCGAGCACGCTCAGCTGTGTTCCAGAGGAGAGAGAGAAAACAGGGAAGGTTGGCCGTCAGAGAAAGCACCCAAGGGGCTACACGCTACAGCAAAGAAGTTTACACTGAGATGGACTGAAGTTGCGTGATAGAATGCCACAAACAAATTTGACGAGATTGGTTTGACTGCCAAGTCAAAGGATGGAAATGGGGTCAAAGGACAGAAACAGGGATCTTTAGCTGGCCCATTGGAAGCCTCGATAGTTGCTACGCTTGTATGGTTATATGTACTAAGTGTATATTTGTACTAAAGTAATAATAATAATAATAAAAGAATATGGAACCTAGGTATGCAATGCAGAGATGCCACCAGAACACAGTGCACCATTAACCACACGTTGTGTTGATTTTCATGGGAGTTAGGTGATCAACATGTCTTTGCAATCCAGCATACCACTCCATCGGTGGCTACTTGGGACAATTTTGTAGCATTCGAACTTCTGTGGGAGTCTGGTTGCTCAATTTTGACTACATGGAATATCAGAGATCTGCGATTGGACATGAATGGTGCAGAAGTGGTGGTGGAAGAGTTAAACCCCCAATTCCCGGTGCTTCAGCATGAATCCATATCAACAGATTCCCCCATGAATGGTTGCTTATTGAGCTTAAACTACATGTTAGGGGATCTGATAGCGGTTCCCCAATGGTCACAATTCACACATCTGACAAAGCAGGCCACAATAAATGTGCTCATCCTTAATGTGCCTCGAGATCCCTTGATGGAACCAGGGGTCATTTCCTGCAGGAGCGCACAGGAGCGGAGCTCCGGCAGTAAAAAGCCCAGGGGGCGGGCACATGCAACAAGCCCCACCCCCTGCTCCAAGAGCCCTCAGTCAGAGCAAGAAGCAGCCAGGTAGGTTGCAGAGCTTCCCCCGGCCCCCCGGTCCAAAACAGTCCAGTGGCACCTTTAAGACCAAGTTTTGTTCAGGTACAAGCTCTCCCTCCTCTGTGAGGACAAATCTGCACGCCCCCCCCCCCCCAATAGCTAGCAATCCAAAACAGTCCAGTGGAGCCTGAGCGGTGGGTGTTGCCTTCTGACACACTTCCGGTGATGTCAGGGGGTGTGGCATATGCAAATGAGTTATGCTAATGAGTTATGCTAATGAGCTCCTGCACCTCTTTTTCTACGAAATGACCCCTGGATGGAACAATAATAGTATCTTTATCCCATCTGCCCAGATCGTACCTTCAATCTCCTTCTCTTTGTTGCTCAGGGTCTTCTCCATCTGAAGGATCGACTCTGCCACACTCTTCTTGGATTTCAGGAACCCCTCAAGAGCCTTCTCTGCCTGATAATGGATTGGAAGCAAAGGAGATGAATGTTACTTAATGGCAGGGAAGCCAAAAGCTCTTTCAAGTCGGGTTTCAAGATGTATTCACATGGCCAGCGTGTATGTGGGCTGAAGTGAAGCCCTGTTGACAGTCATGAAGGATTTGCTTGAACACAAGTTCAGCTGGTCTGACAGCAGATCGCAGTAGAGTTGTTTCATTCTTCCTTTGATCCATAACCCACCTGTCTCAATACTGTCCACTTGGCAGCAGCTGTCAGGGAAACTCAGTCTACACCAGCACACACCCTCCTTTGGCATCACTGATAAATTCAAAAGAGAACCAAAGGTTGCCCAGCTTAGTGGGCAGCCTGGGAACCCTAGGCGGTGCTGATGATTTGCTACCTCATAGAACTACAATTCCCATGGATCCCTATGGGAGGGATATGCCCTCAGTCGGCACCAGCACATGCCCTCCTCGGGCATCACAGATGACTTGGTAACATAAAAATTACAGGCTTGCCCTACCTGAATCCCTCTCCCAGATACCAAGCGGTATTTCTCCTCTATTTCACGCTGCTTTCCCAAGAACTGCTGATAGCCGCCAGGCACAGAGTAGATCCCCTTGGCGATCCCGTCTTCCAGCTCCTGGGAAAGATCCATAAGCACGGTATGGCAGCGGTTCAAAGACTCTTGCTCATTCCTCTCGCAGAACTCCTTCTTCTTCTGGAACAACGTTTGCTACCAAAACAAAGAAGAAGATCCAGAAATAGATGTGTGGGTAACAGGGAGAAAACATCCCTTCCCAGGGGTACGATAGGATAGTTACACCTACAGCACATTGGTTAACTATTAGTTTACTGTCATTCTGGGCATCCTGGGACAAAGGCTACGGGATGACAGAAGGTTGAGAAGCCACGAAAGAGAGCATACCGCAAGTTCAGTTTGAAATTTGGCAATGTGGTCCCCAAAGGCACGGGTCATGAACACTCCAGTGGCCTCCCTCTCTGACATGGCATGCGCTCTCAGCAGCTCCTCCAGTCCCTCTATGGATAGCTTCATCCGCTTCTCCATCAGTTCTTCATAGCGGGAAATGGCCTCACGCACGGCGGCTGCGTTCTCAATCTTGGCCAGGGCCTGCACGGCATTCTCCACGCAAGGAATCTGCCCGCTGTTGATCGCTTCCACGTAGCTCTTTGCCAGGTGTGTGAGCACTGCAAAGGGGAAGAATGAGTGAAGTCATAAGACAGGAGAACCGGAACACCCCTTCTCGACTAAGCCCCTTACACCAAGAATATTTTCGATTCCAATTACTCTTTCAATGACTGCATGTAGCAGCAAGACAGACATGGGCATATATCTCCGTATTTGTCTCCCCAAAACACAATCTGAAGTGCAATATAGATGCATGAGCAACACTCAGGAGAGCTGAAGGCAGCGGTCGTTTCGTAGAAAAAGAGCTAGGGGAACTCATTAGCATAACTCATTAGCATATGCCACACCCCCTGACATCAGGGGCCCGGCGGTGGACCTGCGGCGGGAGTGCGAGGAAGCCCCGCCAAGGCCCTCCCTGGCCCCAGGCAGGCAGGGGTGGGGAGAGGCGGGGAGGAAGCAACTTACCCTCCCTCTTCTCCTGCCTCCTCCTGGCTGAATGAGGGCTGGAAGCGGGGCGGCCGGAAGCAGGGGGTGGGGCTTCATCGTGTGCCCCGCCCCCTGCACCTCACCTGGGGGAACTGCGATCCCCCGCGATCCCCCCCGAAATGACCTCTGTCTGAAGGTCATGTTGGACACACAAGAGATTTTCCACCATTTCCCTCAAAAAGAGCCTTTTATTAGCTTCAACCTATGACTTCTCAGGAAGCTCCTCACTTGTTCCACTGACAACCCGGCCTCCTGGGACTGTCTTGGGTCGGGAGGTGTTCCAGATGTGTTCGCAGAAAGTGGTCACAGGTTCCAAGAAGTCTGGCTCCAAATCCTCCTCTTCCAATTCCTCCAGCCGCTGCAGTTTCCTCTTGTTAGCTGGACGGTCAAACGTGAAACATTTCCGGGAAGGAAAGAATTTGCGGATGTATAATCTGGGCATGTTGCATCTCTGGATTTGCTCAGTGTTTCCTAGGGGAAAAGACAGGGGGGGAGGAGAAAAGCAGGCCATCAGTGACAGTAGCAGTGAACTTGCAAGCATCTCTATCCAGGCTCGGCAACCAACTCACCGTGCTCCAATTTCAATGCATTCTCCAAGTACTCATCCTCACTAATAGGCCGTCCGTCTATCTCCAGCTTCAGGGTGAAGTCTCTTACAGCCCAGATGAAGGCGGGGAAGAAGCGGACAAATTCGGCAGAGTTCTCCTGCTCTTGGCAGCAGCTGGAAGACTTTATATGAATCTTTTTTGTCAGCTCCGTTACATAGCTGGATCTCGCTAAGGGAAAAGATCGGGATGTTGCTCCTGGGCCCTCAAGAACCACCCAAACCATGGACTTCTTGGGTCTCTTTCCACCTGTGGGATGGTTGGTGGACTAAACAAGGTTGCTGAGTGAATCCTGCAGCACTTCCTTCACTATTGATCTGAGCGGGTCTTCTTCTTCCAGGAGAGTGTCAATCCTGCTAGCATCTCTGGTCTGACCCACTGAAGATGCATTCCCACTTGCCCCCGCATCTGGGGGTCTCACTGTGCCCTGTCCCTTTCTTGAGACCAAACCCACCAGTGCTCCCTTTAAGCTGTGGGGTCTTGTGAGCAAAAATTCCACTTCTGTGACCTAGTGGCATTAAAGTTGTGAGCGAGCGATTTGGCGACTGCATAAATCAGTTTGCTCTGGAGCCCTCCTTCCGGAGCGAAGACGAAAATGTGTGAGCCGGAGGCTAAAAAACTGTGAGCTAGCTCGCACTAACTCAGCTGAGAGGAAACAATGGACTCCCAACAGGTCCCCACTTATTTAGGGCTCTTTTTGTAGCAGGGACTCCTTTGCATATTAGGCGACACCCCCCCCAATGTAGCCAATCCTCCAAGAGCTTATAGAGCTCTTCTTACAGGGGCTACTGTAAGCTCTTGGAGGATTGGCTACATTAGGGGGTGTGTCGCCTAATATGCAAAGGAGTTCCTGCTACAAAAAGTGCCCTGCAACATCCAGGCTGAGGCCCAGAGTTCTCACGGGATTACAGTGAATCATCTCCAGATGACAGAGATCAGACCTCCTGACAGCTTTGGAGGGCAGACTCTGCGGCATCGCATCCCTGCGGCGTTCTTTGCCATCCCCAAACTTCACCCTCAACCAGACTCTTCCCCCAAATCTCCAAGAATTTTCCAAGCTGGAGATGGCGATCCTGTTTAATCCATTCCTCTTACTAAGTTACCACCACCACCCCACCCCGGTCCGGCGCATGTTGCCCGTCCTTTACTTGGCTCTCCTTTACTTGGTTCCGACAGCCACCTGCTCTCAGTCTTCCCTTTGCCCCCTCAACCAGGGCAAGGGCTTTTTCAGCCCTTGCCCCAGCCTGGTGGAATACGGTCCCACCCAAGACCAGGAGGACCCTGAGGGATTTATTACAGTTCCACAGGGCCCGTAAAAGTGAGCTGTTCCACCAGGACGGG